GTTCCCAGTTACCTGAAAATGGCTTCCAGGCCTCCCTCCTGGTCTGACCGGGTCTCGTCTCCTTCTAAGGCCAGACTCCAAAAGAGCACCTTCCAACAGATTCAATGCACAGGACTTTTATTATGATTTTTAAAGACGACGCTGGTCTTTCATTAAAGTTTTTTGTTTCGGGACTGGCACTGTGGCACAGCAGTGGAAGATGGCCCAAGTGCTTGGCCCCTGCACCCACGTGGGAGACGCAGATGGTGTTCGTGGTCCCTGGCTTCAGCCCGACCCAGCCCTGACCATTGCAGCCATTTGGGAAATGAACCAGCGGATGGAAGATCTCTGCCTGTCTCTGTGCCTCTGACACTCTGCCTTTCAAATAAATAAAATCTTTTAAGATGATTCTGTTTTAGAAAACACAATTATTTTCATAAGAATATGTTGATAATGTTCATTTCAAATCCAGTGAGTGCCAACAGATATGGCCTACATATCATTATGTGCTTAAAACGGTTTGTACAAAACACATGGAATCTGTTCCCTTGATACAATTTTTTTAAAAAGAAAAAGAAAAAAAGACACGTCCCACATAAACAGCAGCTCTGGGAAGTGCTCCATAAAGTTTAAGAGCATAAAGAGACCTTGGGGCCATAAAGTTTGAAAACCGCTGACGCAAATGCTTGTCACGTCACACCTGTGACGAGGCTGGGCAGGCACCCCGCGGCTGTCGTGTGCTATTTCCACCCCCGCGTCCCTGGCAGCACTGGCCCCTCAACTTTGACTCGGTTTCTCTTCATCCCTCCAAATCCTGCCCCTTCCTAAACACAAATCTGAGTGGGGATTGCTACTTCTCCTTTATCTTGCCGTAGCCGGCACACCTGGCTGTGCACCTGCTAGCTTAATTTGCCCCAGGACGGAGCACCATGTGTTATGAAACAGTGGGTAGTGAGCGCTCACCAAACACTCAATGAAGCCTGGGGCTCATGCTCAGAAAATACTGGCGGAAAAGAGAGAGCCTGGCAGCCAGGAAGGCCAGCCCAGTGGACACCAGCGAGTCGTGAGCTCACGGACTGCGTCTCCGTGTTATGCAGAAACGTCTCGTTGGCCAGGCCAAGTCACCCAAGCAGCAAGGAGCAAGGAGCAGGGAGGAAGGACTTTTGTCCCCTGCCACCCACTAGTGCCTCAGCAGAGGACCTGGGCCCCTGCCTCCCACCAAGAACTGCAGGACGAAAGAGACCCCCACCCTGGAGGAGAGCGTTTGAATGCTCATGTCCACCCCGACACTGCACTCACTGGACAGGGTCACACGTGAAGCTCACAGTGAATTCATGGCGATGGGTTAAATGCACTCTCCATTCACTGGAAAGAGAGATCTCTTTTTCTTCAGATTTATTTGAAAGAGTTACAGAGAGAGGGGGAGAGACAGAGATACAGAGAGAGAGAGATCTTCCATCCACTGGGTCACTCCCCAGGTGGCCGTAACAGCTGGGGCTGGGCCAGGCAGAAGCCAGGAGACTAGACCTCCATTCCAGTCTCCCACGTGGCTGCAGGGACCCAAGCTCTTGTGCCAGCTTCTGCCGCCTTCCCAGGGGCGTGAGCAGGGAGCCAGATCACAAGTGGAACAGTTGGCACTCCAACTGGTGCCCCTATGAGATGCCAGCACTGCAGGTGGCAGCTTAACCCCCCGGCCACAGCACCAGCCCCCGTGACTTTGAATTCTTCCCACTGCACCCAATCTTCAGGGTCAGTCTTGAGTCACCCCTTTTCCATCAAAAGTCCTTTTCTGCTAAAACATCCCCGGAGCCGCTGTTAAGGGGTTAACCCACCCACAACCTACATGAAAATGGGACCCCGTGGCTCTCTGGACTCACCTCTGGCTCCAATCCATTTCCCGGCCGCGTGACTCTGCGTCGGATTACTAACTCTCCGGCACAGTCACCTTAACCACAAATGGCAGAAGCAATAACACCACAAGCCGCACAGGGTTGTCGCCCGTGCACTTCTGCTACTCAGCGAGTGACTCATTCATCGTCACCGGTCGTCGACGAGCACTGTTCTCCGACCTCAATTCAGATTTCAAACGTAATTCCTGATGGAAGTCATAAGCATCCCTTTCAATGCTTCTGGTTTCAGGACAAGTAAGAGGGAACTGCAATTTACCCAGATTGATTTTTTTTTTTTGACAGGCAGGGTGGACAGTGAGAGAGAGAGACAGAGAGAAAGGTCTTCCCTTTGCCGTTGGTTCACTCTCCAATGGACGCCACGGCTGGCGTGCTGCGGCCGGCACCGCGCTAATCCGATGGCAGGAGCCAGGTGCTTCTCCTGGTCTCCCATGGGGTGCAGGGCCCAAGTACTTGGGCCATCCTCCACTGCACTCCCTGGCCATAGCAGAGAGCTGGCCTGGAAGAGGGGCAACCGGGACAGAATCCGGCGCCCCGACCGGGACTAGAACCCGGTGTGCCGGCACAGCAATGCGGGGGATTAGCCTAGTGAGCCGCGGTGCCAGCCCCAGATCGATGTTTAAGTGGCTACTTAACACTAGCATGTGTGTCAGCTATTAGATAACTCACTTGAACACAATATGGGGCTGAGGGTCACGGCCACTGCTCTGTCCCAGCGTTCCAGTGGTGCAGACAGAATCCGGTGCCATTACACGGTTAGAGACAGCCTTTACACACAGGGCTGAGACACAAGGACAGAGGTTCGAGCCTTCCCTGGATGATTACACGCTAGCGAGCAGGAAGCATCTCAGCTCTGACTGAGGAAGAGGAAGAAGAAGTACAATTGCCCAGTCGCCGACACTGCCCTGCCGTGGCCGGCCGCTCCAGAGTTGCGAAAGCTGACTCGCTGCTGAGAGAGGACATCAGAGCTGACATGTTCTCTGCTGAGCTGTTTATCAATGCATGGCCCCGGGAGGAAGCAGGAGCAGTCCCCAGCCCCATCCCGAGTCAAAGCCACCAGCTCTGCGTGCTGGCTCGGCACAGTGCGGAACGAACTCTGCAAAAGGCGTTAAGACAGCAACAGGGAGACGACAGAACCCGATCTCCTGGCTCCTTGTGTGAGCGTGGCGGAGCCCGTGCTGGCAGCGGGAGTGCCCAGGGTGGAATTGCCAGCCCTCTGGGGCCAGAAGAAATGCCTTCTGTTCAGCCCCCAATCCATCAGCCCTGAGAAAGGAGGCAGTTCATCGTCCGGCCTCAAGACCAGAGCAGAGCTAGGAATTAATGAGGCCGCAGCGAGGGCCCGGCTTCCAAATGCAATCGACAGCGATGGCCCCTGCGGCAGCTCACTGGGTAATGGGAAAAACAGGCCAAGGAACAACTCGGAACAGCCTGACCAGGGCCACCACTGCAAATGCAGCTCTGACAAAACAGAGCAGGGCCCAGAACCCGCGTCCCCAGGAGCACAGGGAAGAACACAGGGCATGCAAATGCACCTCGTGGGATTGGGGTGAGACAGAAGGAAGGCGTCCATGAGACGCCAAGAGGTGCTCAGAATTACGGCCAGTGACCTTGGCCCCGATTTCAGCTCCCTGGGGGTTGTCAAAGGTCGCACTGGTTTGGGTACCAGGTACAGCTCTCCGACCACAGCCCCCAACCGGCAATGCATCCGAGTTATCCCATCACGGAGGACACAGGACTCAACAGATGCCATGTGGGCTCCCTCGGAGAGGCTCCCCGAGCTCACACAGAACCCAGTCCGCATCTCTGCCTATGCATTCACCCAGATGTCTAAACCAGAGCCTGAGGGATCAGTCCACACGGCCAGACGTGTGAGGACTTAATTCCACTAGCATTTCCACGGTGCTTGCTGTGTCTGGCGTATGCCTTGGCACAGCTTAGCCTCCTGTTGGAGCAATAAGGATGCGAGGAAGTCCAGCACAAAGCAGCGTTAAGGGAGGGACAGAACCAGAGGAGGATGCCAGCACTGTGCTGCCTAAGCGGGATGACCCTCTCTTCCGTCCGAGCTGCCAGAGCCAGCGACTTTGAATCACGGCCGCCTTCCTGCTACAATTCTGCACACGTCACCTTCCTGCAGGGCCCTTTGCCAGCACGGCGATGACGGCTGAACAATTGCAGAAGCCAGCTTCTCGCCCCGACCAGAAGTTTCTATCATCAGAGAGCGCGGGGGCTCATAAAACAGTGCAATTCTCCTCTTCAAAGTTGTGGCAGAAATACCCGATGTGTGCTCAGTCGTGTTCTGCAAACCAACATGTATGCAAGCGTCTAATTAGCATATCATGGGATCACAGGGCTCGGCGCTCCCTCCCTCAGATCTCGTCCTGGGTGTAATTACGCCAGCTGTGCCTGCTTTGGACTCTACTGCTCCTTCCCTCTTCCCGGCCGAGCCGGGAGAAGAAAGTCAGGTCTTAGCATCCACTCGGATGAGTCTCACCAGGATCTTATTTGAGCCCATAATTAAAGTCCAGTTTAATCCACAGCAAATAATTAACCTGATCTAGCAGGCCTCAGTCCAAGGCTACCGCAGCCGACGCACCTCAGACACCCGACAGGAACGGCCACAGAGCTCTCCCCCCAACCCCGCTGCCTCCCTCCGGCTCAAAAGACCCGAGGGAGACGAGAGCCCTGCAGACCCTTAACGACTGGATTTTGTCATCGG